GCCTCTCATGGGTCACCGGGGTGGCAGTGGACCGAGGTGCACTTTGTTGGCAGGGATGGATAGATGAGCAGGAGTTTCCTTGGGTAGATACACCCTGCCTGCCCTCTTGGGGTGGCATGAGGTCCCGACACCAGCTTTGGAGCTACCCAGGCTCCCTCTAACTCTGCAGCTGGTGTGAGGCAGGCATCAGGAAAGCCTGCCCGCCATGGGCTGCGGAGGAAGACCAGGCAGCAGAAGCCATACTTATCCTTTCATTATTCATCCACATAGACAGGGTGGGTGCATGCTCCAGACCGTGCCCTGTCCTGGGCAATGCTGGAGACCAAACAGGGGCCAAATCCAGCACCTGTCTCCCCTGGGGAAGACAGACTTGAAAATAACTGAAAATTGTTAGTACAAGAGATGAATAGAGTTCGGAATGTGGGGTTTGAATCAGATTGGGGGAGGAGGGGGTTTTCTGGAAGGATGAGATAATTAGGACTTAGCCTGGCAAAGCCCATGATAGCAGAGATGCCTGAGCAAACCTGCGAGTAGAACACATAGTTAAGATGCGCTGGCTGTTTCACAGGGCCTGTTTGGATTCCATCCCCACCATTCCTTGCTTGAGCAACTCTGGGAGACTTTGAGCCTCAGTTTTTTCATCTACAAATGGGAACATTCCAGTCCTTAGCTCCCATGGTTGGTAAGAGGATCAGATTATCAAAGGGTCAAGCACATATTGTGCATAGGGTGGAGTGAGGTAATTAGTGAGCCTCCCAATAGGTGACAGCTATATAGTAATTCATGGCTTGTCTGGATGAAGGAACGGAGGGTGCAAGAGCAGGGGCAAGACAGGAGTGGGGAGACCAGGGGCGACTCGGGTATCAGGGTAAGTGATTTGTACCTAATACAGAAGCCAATGGGAACTAGTTAAGGAGATTGCCATCTACTTTCCCCTCCAAATTTTCTCCAATAAACAGGCATTACTTTGGTAGCCAGAGCAAAACAAGCATTTTCTGTAAAAGAAGAAGCTGATTGCCCTGGCAGCATGTAGGTACCCTTCTCCTGCCCCTTACCCTCCTCCTTCCACTCCCCATGTTCTGTTTGGGTTAAATAATCAGGTTAGACTTCAAGGGCAAGTGTTGTGAACTTGACAGTGGCTGGAGAATGGGTGTGGAGGGGCTGGCAGGTCAAGCCTGGCCAGGACACCTTCTTTGGCTTCTTTCAGCCAGCCTTTCTCACTGTGGAGCTGAGAATTGGGGGCCCCTCAGACTCTGAGTTGGGCACTGCTGGATAGTGTGCTCTTTTCCTGCCTGCAGTGAAGTTTGGGGTTTCCCCAGCGATGTTGGGAGGAATCACTGACCACCTTGCCATGGAGCCACTAGGCTGCTGAATCCTTCTCCACATTCAGCCTGGTGGGAATCTGGCAGTGGGGAGAGGCTCAGCAAGGCTGTCTTTGAAGGAGTTGGTGAGCCGGAGCTTCCTACCCCAAGCCCTTCCCCCTACCAGTTCCCATCCCCCAGCCAGTTCCCATTCCCCCAGCTGACTCTTGGCCACCTCTAGACCCCTCAATGGGATCAGACAGTCACTGGAGAACTTTGGGCATGTGATTGGGGAGAAGGCTGCAGGACTGAGACTCAGTAAAGTCTGAGAGCTTCCAGAGTAAAGCAGGGTCCCCTCCTCATGTCCTATCAGCTCCTTTCCCTGCCCCCACGAAGGGCAAGTCAGTGCCTGGCTGAGTCCTCCATTCACCAGCTTCTGCTGCCCACATCACAGTGGACTCGCCCGACCCGTGCAGGCCACAAGCTGGTCTTTGTGGGCTCGCCCTCTCACGTGGACCGTGCCAGGAGGGGCTGACCCGCATTCTGCTCGCAGCTGGAAATACCCCCAAGGGGCCTGGGCCCCCTTGGCCACCAAGAAGAGATGGAGCTGGCATGAATGCAACATCCTGGCTGGAGAAGGGCAGGCCCTGGGGAGACAGCTGCGCGTGTGAGAAAGTCAGTCATTCATGCACTTGCTCAATAGATGTTTATTGAGCCCCTGCTCAGAGTTGGGCCCTGGGGTGAGGACTTGTACTGAGGCACATGAATTTTACCCTTTTAGGGAAATTGACTGGGTGGAAACATCTGTATTAGAATCATTTGGGGAGCCTATCCCCAGTTTCTGATTCAATAGGTCTTGGTAGGGGTGAGGGGATTTCTAAGTTCCATAGTGATATTAATGTGCTAGTCAGGGGCCAGACTTTGAGAGTCACTGTGATTCAGGACCAAATGGAGGAGTTTTGTGTGATTTATATTTTCTTTTCTTTTTTTTAAAGATTTATTTCCTTTATTTATGCATGCAAGAACTGGGGTATAAGTCAGAGGTAGGGGGATGAGAGGATTCACCAGAGACAGAGTGGGGGCAGAACATGCAGATCCACTGGAATACACTGCTAAGGGGAGTAGCTGGCAAGTCAAGAGAGGTCTGCTGCTCCGTGTGGGTCACCTCCCTGGCTGGGCATTGAATTGCTGATAGCTTCATAGTGCTGAGACTTAACCCCTTGCAACACCAGGAAGGCCCTGATTTATGTTTCAAAACTATCTCTATGATTACATTTGCCTTTTTAAATAGAAAAAAAAAATTTAAAAGTTAAAAAAAAAAGCAGTTCTCCCAAATACTATAGTGTTCTGTAGCCCTAAGTAAATAAATGTCACCTCCCCTGACCTAAATGTCATACATCTGTTAATGTAGCCCAGCATTGTGAGCTTGTGTGTCCCCTGTACTTTCCCGTTGGCTCATCCCGAGCTTTCGGTCCACTGAGACCACTGCATCTGCAACCATCACAGGTTCTGTGTATATCTGTGGAGAGAATAGCTGAGGTTCTAGTGTAGCATTCGAGCACAAGTCTATCTAGGGGCTGTCTTAGCTTGCATTTAGCCTACTGGCCTGTGCTTGCTGAGTGCTGTTTCCTTTTGCTTCCTTAATCTGAAATGGTGCGTGGGCTCCTTACTTCCTCATTTCTTTAACTGGTGTGATCAGTGACTGTCCCACTTCCTCCTCTTCTACTTTTAGTCCTGTCCACTCGGCATGGTGATGGGGTGGCGAGTCTGAGGGTATATTGGGGTGGACGGTCTGTGGGTATATTGGGATGAGGGGGTCCTGGTAAGGTGACCTCTTCTTGGCAGCTAGTGCAGGCAGAATCATCCACATTGGGAGCCACTGAACAGACCCCTGTGAGAGAAGCTGTGGCACGTGGGGATCAAAACCTTCAGTTCACAGTGGAAACAGTACAGTATATGTTAGGTTGGAAGAAGCAGATGTCTCTGTTTCACTCCTGAGCTCAGAACCATTTGAGAAATAGTCCCATGAGTCAGTAAGTGTATGTAAAGACTTTAGTAAACCTTTATAGTAAGGGCTGGCCTGGCAGGTACCCTGAATTAAACTGGCCTGCTTATGTTTTTTGGGGAAAGAGAGGCCCCGAAGATTGATGAACCCAGCTGTGGCCCCTCACCAGGACCTGCAGAGGGCTTTTTGGCTGCTTGGATTCAACCAGCTCACATCACCCCGTCCTTATGTGTTTCTCTCACTCCTTAGGGATATCTTTGGCATGTCATTCACCCCCTGTGACTCAGTTTCTCTTTTAGTGCACAGTCTTATTTAGTCTATTCAGTGACACTAAAAGCAATATTGTTATTCCCATTTGTGACTCAGTTTTCACACTTGTTAACTGACACAGCAATTATCCACTCCTGCTGGTTTCCTCAATCATCCCTTTCACTTTGAGTCAAATGATTGTTTCACTAACTAGACAGATATTCACACTTTCAGTTAGTATTTGTTAGGAGCCTATAGGATGCTAGGCCTTGTGCTGGGTGTGGGGGATGTAGCAAGGTAGATATGGGGGTAACCATGTCTACCAGCAGTCATGGTCTCTCTGGGAGACAAACTTAAGTAAAGAATTGCAGATGTGCTGCAAAGGGGAAATGAGGGACATTGGAGCTGGTGACAGAGGTGGCAAGAGCTATTCTGAGGAAGTGAGGTCACCTTCCAACCCCCTCGCTTAAAACCCAAACCGAGACTCTATTCAGTTCTTCCAGACTCTGCATGCCAAGCCCTATTTGTTTCAACCTACCCATAGTGGCTCTGGCTGTTTGCTGTGACTTGACTTGCCAAGCTCTTTCTTGCCTCTGTGCCTTTGCACGCACTGTTCCCTCTGTCTGGAATCATCTCCATGGCTTGCTCTCTGCATGGATGTTCCTTTTTGCCTCAGCTCAAATGTCCCTTCTTTAGAGATGTCCTCCCTGACCATGTCCTTCTTCCTTCCTTCCTTCCTTCCTTCTATCATATGACCAGGGTTTTTGTTTTTTGTTGTCACAGCTCTTAACAGTAACGAAGTTTTAAAATGTATTGGTTTACTGTTCCTCTCCCCACTGAAACTCGGGCTCCATGCAGAAGCTACATGCTGTCACTTTTGTGTGCCTGCACCATCACAAGCTCAACAGTGCTTGTTGAGGCAACCACTCTTGTTTTCCCAGTATATTAGTCTCCTATTGCTGCTGTCACAAATGACCACAAGTTGAATGACTTAAAAAAAACTCCCAGATCATAATCTTACAGTTCCAGAGGTCAGAAATCTGGAAATCAAGTGTTGTCTGGGCTACATTCCTTGTGAAGGCTCTAGGGGGAGAATCCATTCACTTTTCCAGTTTCTAGAGGCCACCGGCCTTCCTCGGGGCTTGGCCTTTCCTTATCACCCCTTTCTTCCCTCTTCTCAGCATGCTGGTGATTGCTTTGGTCTCACCCAGATAGCTCAGTATAGTCTCCCAATTGCTACATCCTAAACTTAATCACATTTGCAAAGTCCCTTTGCATCATAAGATAAAATTATTAACAGATTTTTAAAATTAGGATGGGTCATCCTTGGAGGGTCCATTATCCAGCCTACCTCACCCAAGCCCTGTGGTGCCTAGGACAGTGTTGGATGTGGACCCTGACCACTGTCACGGGCCCGATGACCTGACAGTTCCTTCCCTCTGCAGGATGAGATCGAGGAGCTGCGGGCAGAGATGCTGGAGATGCGGGACGTCTATATGGAGGAGGACGTGTATCAGTTGCAGGAACTGCGACAGCAGCTGGATCAGGCCAGCAAGACCTGTCGCATCTTGCAGTACCGGCTACGCAAGGCCGAGCGCCGCAGTCTCCGCGCCGCTCAGACTGGCCAGGTGGACGGTGAGCTCATCCGTGGCCTGGAGCAGGATGTCAAGGTGAGCCAGGACCTCCCCTAACCCATAGAGGTGTCCTTGTTGGGAGGTGGGGCCAAGCCAGCCCAGGACCCCCTGTGTGTCCTTGGGGAAGTTATACTACTTTGTGCCTCAGCTTCCCCATTTGTAAAATGGGGATCCCTTGTGAACGTACAAGCCTTCTACCAGGGATGTCCCAAAGTGATACCATAATATGAATGCTATTAATAGCAGCTACTTTTTGATATCAATCACACACCTGAGCTGGACCCTGAGCTGCCCCTGCACAGTTCCATGGAGGTTTCTTTATTGTGAGAATAGGGAGCGAGATTTGGCTGGTTTAAATTTTGCCTCCAATATGGCCTAATTTTATGATTTTGAGCAAGTTACCTAAATTTCAGTTTCCTCATCAGTAAGATGGTATAACAGCAGCCAGCCCCTGCCTCACAGGATTCTCTGAGGATAGATTTAATGAAATCACATAGGTAAATGTTACGGTAAGTACTCAGCAGTGAGTCAGAGAAAGGAAGTGCCCATCCAGGGTCACATGGCACTCAGCTTGTGGCTGGCAGAACTCAGGCTCATCAGCCCTCCTGTCTCACTGCCTGCCCTCACCAACTCAGCCTCGCCGGAGGGATGGGTTGGAGAACAGGCCAAGCTGTCTGTGTAAGCCCTGGTAGGGATGTGAGAACTTGGTGGCGCTCTGGTCCACAGACCTCAACCCAGTGTGATGAGGGGGTGTAGGAACTGGGAATGGGGGCTTGGCGCAACCCTCAGGAGACTTCTGAGCTGAGGCCTGAGGAAGTGGTGGGCCTGAGACAGGAGGTGAAGGAGGAATGTTGAGGAAGGGGCCCTGAATGTGCCTGGGGAGGCTAACAGTGAGTGGCCCACACAGATTTTTGCATGCCTGTTGTCTTGAATGTGCACAGAGGGATGGTACGTCTGTTGTACAGATGGGGACATCGAGCTTAGAAAGGTCTCCAAGTCCAAAGTGCACCTCTGCCTGAGAGGGCAGCTCCTGGGAGAAATGGTTACACAAATATTCAAATTCTAATCATTAGATGGGGGCAGAGGTTGTGGGTGAGGAAAGGCCCTGGGAGCTCAGACTAATTGAGTGTTGTGGGCCCAGGTAATTGGAGACTTGGGGCTGGGACTCTGAGAAGCCGCCTCGAGAAGCCTGGCCCAGCTGGGCTGCCCGGGACCTCTGTGGGAGGAGCAGAAAGCAGCTGGTGTGTGAGTGTGTTGGGGGAGGGGGATTCTCCGCAGTCTGGAAGGAGGGGAACAGCCCCTTCTGTTGGGATTTGAACTAGCCAATCAGCATCAACCTTGCCTGTTCCCTTTCTCCTCTGCCTGCCCCTGCAGCTGGAGCACTGAGCTCATGCAGACTTGCCTGGGCTGGAGGCCTCTGGACACCATGCTTTGCCCCTTGTGCTGGAGATTTTCTGGGGCATTTTTGGAGGTCTTAGAATTCTGACTGCCCTGGCATTGCTTGGGAGAGCTGCTGGGCCCAGTGTGGTGCTGCCTAGGAAGGTAGCCCTGAGGACCTTTATTTGCTCTACCAGCTTCTTGGCCCATGTCCTCCACCTCTTGGGCATATTTGCCTTCTGTTAAAAGCGTGGTTTAGACCAGCTGAATAATCTTCAGGACTTTGTAGAACCAGTGGTTTTGTTACAGGGCAGGGAGAGGGGCAGCCCAAACCCCGCAAACCTGCCTGTTCTATATGGGTTCTGCCATCCGCTGCATTAACACAAAACATGAGACTTTAATGGGAAGAAACTTTAATACAATTAGGAAACAATACAGGAAAGGCAAATAATCTAGTTTCTAAATCAAGCACCCAAAGTTACCTGTCCCCTCTTGGGTAAAAGTCCATCCAAATGGGATTGGCCCAGAGCAAGGCCCCAAAGCCTGCCACAAGTCTAAAGCACCTTCCAGTGGGGACCCACAGAAAAAGGTCAGAAACAACCAGACAAGCCCCGAAGGAAAAGAGCAAAATCAAAATCAAGATAAAGGCTGCCATTGTCACCTCCCCACGGGTCTCACCCACATCTGTGTCACCCAGTCCACGACCAAAAGGCAAGCGCAGTTTCGTCACGTGTCTCTAGGCTCCATGCGCCTCCTCCAGGTCTCCTTCTGGCTCCATCCTGCTTCCTTCCTTCCTTCCTCAGTCTCCTCTGCAGCTTCTTCTCTTCCTGCTCAGCTCCCCCCTCCATTTAGGTGGGGCAGGGAACCTGGAACCTCCCCCTTTCCTGGGGGCCACCCTGTTACAGTTTTATCCAGCGGATAAGCTATTGGTAAGGGCGCCATGAATGAAACCTTAGGCATTGGTCCGCCTTCCAGGCTCTCTCTCTCCTTGCTGGTCTTCACACGTCAGGAATCTTGCCCGGCATGGCTGGGAGAGCAGGAGCAGGGGACCAGAGACCTGCTCTGCCACTTGCTTGCTATGTGACCTTGGGTAAGCTCCTTCATATTGTTATAGAGCAACCCCCATATTAAACGGGTTCCTGGCTGTGGGTCCTCACCCGCGCGCTTTAAAGGGACTTATGAATACTCTACTACAGACGCACACAAAAAGGTTAATAAAAAGTTTATTTACAAGAGGAAAGGAAATAAGGAAAATGTACAACTCAGGGAGAAAATAGGGAAATAGTCTTTAATGCGTCCTACCCGATCCGACGACCTGGAAACCCAAAGTCACTCTCAGAGCTGGCCGGACGCTGCAAGCTGGTGGAGAGCCAAAATGGGGTCCCCCAAAGCCCACGTGTCTGCCTTTTATATCCACCTGGCTGCTTAACCCCACCCTCAGGTCCCAGCCACCTTCCCTTTGGTGGTGATGGGATTTGGAGTTCCCAGTGTCTTTGGCTTTGACCTGGGGTGGGGGTGGAGTCCACAAAGCCTATATGGAATTTGCTTTGGGACATCCTTTTTCCCCTAACAATATCTCTGAGAAAAAGTCCCCACCTATAGAGATTTCTGTGAGGATAGAATGAGATAATTCAGCTAGCGAGCACTAAGCACAGAGACTGACATGGGACATGCACTCAACAAATGAGATGTTTGTTGTGGTGTTACTATTGCTCAAGAGAACCAAGTGGCTGGGGCACAGGTGGGTAAGGGGAGGCCAGAGTCTCAACCTCACTGCCCTCACCTGGAGGGCTTGTTCACAATGCAGATTCTCAGGCCCCCCCCCAACAGGGCCTCCTGTGGGAGCCAAAGCATGAACACACCAATAAAATATTTCCTTTCCTATCCAGTGTTGCTGGAAAAATTTCTGGCTTTGGGTTCAATTCCTGGGTGACCTGGGTGGGGATGCCTCCCATTTGTAACCCAGCCATAGTCTCTTTGAGCCTCAGTTTCCTCAACTGTAAAATGGCGATAACATTCCCACCCTTTGGGGTTTCCTGGGAGGATTCAGCCACATAGCCCAAGGCTGCCCAGGAAGGCTGTTCCTCAGTGAGAGTGCCCATCCCCCTCCCTAAGTATTCAGAGTGACAGGGACACCCTGAGACCCATGACTGAGGGCCCTTTGAGCAGAGGAGCCGTGGCCTGGAGGCTGCTGGTTGCATTTGGCAGGAGCCAGCCTCCAGCGCTGTAAACAGTGACCTCATGGCTGAGCACATTTGTTTGTGCTTTGGGGATTTGCCCTGGTTTCCGGAAGCTGCAGCTGCTTGACCATCTCTAGACTCTCAGCCCCCTACCTTGGGAGTAGTTGGGAAGATTGTGAGGGGATCAAGTGAGACAAGCAAGTGGAGCCCTGTGAGCACCTGACACAGGAGCCCGATGCACTTATGACTGCATCTCTTATAGAAACTAATGCAGTGTGTCTTCAAGCTCCAGGCCAACAGCAGGTCAGGTCAAGAGCAAGACTTTAGAATTGACCCACCTTATTTCAAATCTTGCTCCTGTAGCTTCCTGACTCTGTGAACTTGAGCTGTATGATCTTGGGCAAGTGACCTTTCCTTCCTGAGCCTCAGAATGGGGATAAATAATCAAAGCACTTCCTGAGGGGATGAAAAGCACGTGGTGAGTGCTGGGGATGTGACAGTGGGGTCTATAAGTCAGCTGTTCTCACAGCCCAGGGGGGCCCCAGCGATGCTCAGCAAGTGGAAGGAACAGCAAGCCCAGGCCTAGGGGGTAAGCTCCTGCCCTCCAGGCCAGCATGCTTTTTGCTCCTGTGGTCCTCCTCTGGTGGCAGAGAGACCCTTGCAGATCTGAGACTAGGGTTTTCTTGTCCAAATTGGAATTCTGTAAACTGTCTGCAGTTGGGCTTTGTTTTTTTAGATTTATTTATTTTTGCATACAAGAACTGGGGTACAGGCCAGAGGTGCAGGGGAGAGGATTCACCAGAGATAGAGTAGGGAACAGAACAAGCAGATTGACTGAAATACACTGCTGAGGGGAGCAGCAGGCAAGACAAGAGAGGTCTGCTGCACCATGTGGATTGCTCCCTGGCCGGGAATCCAAATCATGCTGCGGTGGCTGCCGACTGCTTCGTAATGCTGAGACTTGTGCCACCAGGGAGACCCTGAAGTTGGACTGTCTTGACGTGGCAGCCCTCTGGGGTGGGGACTAATGAGAAAGGAGATCCCATGGGGAATGATGCCGAAGGGGACTGGGGACCCATGAAAGGGATGAAATGCCTGTAGTCATTCGTGAACCCCAGTGTAACCTGTTCCTCACCCAGTCAGATATGTAGTACTCCCTGAGCAGCGCTGGCGCGGGTGACGAGAGGGTGCAGCTCCTCATGTTTTAGTCATTCACTCCTTCATCTCCTTCCCTTTTCACTTGTTGGGGTGTTTGCTCATCCAGCAAGCATTTATTAGGCATTTAGTGTGTGCCAGGCCCTGTACTGCTGCTGGAACAGAGAGGTGAAGGAGCCCAGGAGCATAGTCTGGGGTCTGATCTCTGTGCCCCACCAGTCCTACCCCCAGGGATGAGCACTGTCATCTATTCCTCACAGCAGCCCTGTGAGCAGCTCTGTGAATCCCCTTTGCTGATGACCAAACTGAGACTTCCAGTGGTTAAATAACTTCATCTTGGGTCACAAATCCAGTGAGTGTTGGTCTCAGACTGCAGTCTCGCTTTCCTCAGTGAATAGTCCTTGTTCTGTTAGGGAGGGAATGCTTACTGCATTGTATGGGTGAGAAAGGTTTAGTGGTCCTGGGGCCGAGGGAGGGGCCTCTGGGCCAGCTCCTGGCTCTCCTTGGGTATCTTCGGGGCAGAAAGACACAGTGGGCAACAGAGGCGGAGGGGCAGGGCTGAATTTCCTTTCTGGTTGTTGTTTTTCCTGGCCTGTCTCACACTCTGCCAAGGGGTCTGTGCCGAGCTGGGCCTGGGCCCAGGCAGAGGGCAGAGCCGGGGAGGGCCCTCTTCCCTTCCGGCAGGGAGGAGGTACCATGGCCATTTCCGAGACTGGCAGGCACAGGGTGCTGGGCTCTCTGCCCCACACATACCTCTTGCTGGTAAAGGCCTTGTGCCCCTCATGGAGACTTGGCCAAGCTCAGCCACTCCCTGAGACTTCCCCCAACTTAGTCCTCATGTGCACTGTGTAGCCCTAAGCAAGTCTCTTATACTCTGAACTTGTTTCCTTGCCAGTAAAATGGGGGTAGAATTGGGGTGAAGATGGATGAATCTGGTACACAGTAGGTATGCAAAAATGGTAGTGCCCAACTCACCTAGGGGTGGGGTCTCATTGTGATTCACCAGCTCAGAAGGGTCTTCTTTGTTTCACGAGACCCCCTTTCCTAGCCTTGCACCCCAGCCAGCAGGGGATAGGGCAGACGGTATCCTCGAGGAAGTGGGGTGTTATTGGTGCAGTCCTGGAACTGGGATTGCGCTCTCAGCTCTTCTGGCTCCTTTCTATAGGGATGACTTGGACACCTGCCCAGCCTTTGTCATCTGGGGCATGTTTTATATCCCTGACAATTAGAAACAGGCCTTGGGGTCACACTGTATCCTCCAGCCAGTCATGCCCCTCTCCGGGCTGCAGTGCCTCGTGGCAGCAGCTTCCACTCACCCGCACTCACTGTGCGGGCTCCGGGCCAAGCCTTTCTTGCAATAATTGATTCAGCCCTCCTGTCGGGATTGAGGTCAGTGCTATTACGATTGCACACATTTTATAGTAAGGGGACCGAGGCACAGTGGGGAAATGATTTACCCAGGATCATGTGCTGTTTACCAGCAAAGATGGGGTTCACGTGGATCTAGGGCCACCCCTCTCATTCTGGATTTTCACTCCAGTTCAAAGTAAAATGAGCCACTTTCCCTGCCACAGGTCTGGATAAGAAGGTGGCTGGGAGAGACTGTTGGAAGCATTAAAATCCCCAGGTAAATGCAAAGACTTCCTTAAGAATAGGCCTCTATAGCTTTATGGGGGCCGCTCTGTAATGTAGACATTTGGGAATGCTAGTTTAGGTTCTGGTTCTATTACTTCCTGGCTGTGTGACCCTTGGTGAGTTACTTGACCTCTCTGTGCCTTGGTTTTCTCATCTGCTAAGTGGGGGTGATGACAGCCCTGCCGTCTCTGGGGTTTTGTGTGGCAGGCTGCTCACACCCAGCTCATCACCTGCTTTTGCTCAGGTCTCTAAGGACATCTCTGTGCGGCTGCATAAGGAGCTCGAGGCGGTGGAGAAGAAGCGGGCACGGCTGGAGGAGGAGAACGAGGAACTTCGGCAGCGGCTCATTGAGACCGAGCTGGCCAAGCAGGTGCTGCAGACAGAGCTAGAGCGGCCGAGAGAGGTGAGAAACCACCCATCCTGGGCAGGGTCACACAGCTGGTATCTCTGAACCTCTGTTTCTGAGGTTTTGCTCTCTGGCAGAGCTCACACCTCTGCCTCCTCTTTATTCTTTCTCAGCACACAAAAATTTCCTGAACATCTTCTGTATACATTGTGTGCTGGACATGAAGGACGTGGTGGTGAAGACACCTGGTTCCCGTCCTCAAGGCGCCTGGGCCACGAGCTAGTGAAGGAGAAAGTCATCCATCCGAGAACCACAGCTGTGGGAGAACTAATTTAGAAAACATGCAGCAGTGCCTAGCATGAGGCCTGGCCCTCTGTGCCTCAGTTTCCTCATCTGTAAAATGGGATTGTATGTCTTGAGTCACTGTGAGATTATCTGGGGTAATGTGTGGATATGCTTTAGGGGCTGCAAGGCACTGCCTTTTTCTATAAAGTCAGTGCTGGAGCTGGGCCTCTGGGCAGTGACTTGACACAGATTTCAGGGCACTATACCCCTCCAAATGTAGCCCTGGGCACCAGCTTCTCTGTCCTTGCTCATGCCATTCCTCCACTTGCCACGCCCTCTCTTCCTCCTGCTGTGTTAGATGGAGAGCAGGTTAGGCACCCCGCTGGCCACTGTCTCAACAGTTTTCATAAAGGCCTAATGAGGTTTTGATCATACCCATTTTATGGATGAGAAAGCAGCCTTGGAGAGAGGGAGAGCAGTCTCAAGGTCATACAGGGCCCCATGGGCTCTGCAGGTCAGTTGGAAACCATTAGCCTCAGAGGAGACCTCTAAGGGCTGGAATTCTCCAGACTCCAGGATTCTATGTGTCAGACACCCTGGGGTGACTTCTGACCCAGAGGCCTAGCTGGGCATCTCAGTATCCTGCACTCCTCACCTTCCCTGAGGGAAGGCATGCCAGCCTCCAGGACTGAGACATCACTGCCTTGGGGCCAGAACAGTCCTGCAACTGCCCTTCCCGCTGGCGTGTTGATGTGATGTGCCAATAGCTTCTCAGTGTGGAGACAGCTGGCATTTGCTACTAAGAGCTGCTGCAGAGACCTGCCCTGCTTCGGGACTAGAGGGGGCTCTCTCCCTCATTTGGCCTCCAGGCCCCCAACTCCCCACAGCTGCCATCTTCACACATCTCATTGCTGCTGCCCTTGCTAGTAAAAAGGGGAGACAATTTCAGAAAGTGCCTTGGAGATCAGCCTGTTCCTTTTTTTAAAAGAGGAAGCTGGATCCCAGAGAGATACACCTTGCTCAGCTCCCCCAGCCTTTCCTTACCCCTAAGTCTCTTCATCTATGACAGCAGGATAATAACAGTACCCAGCTGATGAGGTTTTTCCTGATCATCAGTAAGATGGGTAACCATGGAACACTCTGAAGATGTTAAAAGAATAAGATAATACCGCACTTAGGGAAAAGGTTAAGCATAGAATTACTATGTGGATTTCTACCCAAGAGAATTGAAAACAGGGACAGATGTTTGTACCCCCGAATTCATTGTAGCATCACTCACAACAGGCAAGAGGTAGAAGCGACCCAGTGTCCATCGATGAGTAGATAAACAAGATGTGGTATGGACATACAGTGGACTATGGTCAGCCTTAAGAAGGAGTGAAACCCTGACACTGGCCACAACATGGAGGACAAGATGCTAAGACAAGATGCTAAGTGGAATAAGCCCATCACAAAAGAACAAATGTTATGATTCTGCTTGCATGAGATATACTTGATGTGGTCAAATTCTTAGACACAGAAAGAATGGAAGTTACCAGAAACTGGAGGGGCAGAGAGTGGGGAATTAGTAATTAATAGATACAGAATTTCAGTGGGGAAGATGAAAAGCTGTGGTGCTGGTGAACCACAATATGAATGTGCTTCGTGCCCCTGAATTATATGCCTGAAACTGGCTGAAACAGAAAATTTTATGTTATGTATATTTTATTTTTTTTTTAAGATTTATTTATTTATACAAGAACCCGGGTACAGGCTAGATGTGCAGGAGGGTGAGAGGATTCACCAGAGACAGAGCGGGGAACAGAACAGGCGGACTGACGAAATACACTGCTGAGGGGAGCAGCGGGCGCGGCAGTAGAGGTCTGCCACACCATGTGGGCATCTCTGCGGCCGGCGGGGATCGAACCGGCACTGCAGAAGCTGCAGACAGCTTCACAGCCCTGCACTCAACCGCCTGTGCCACTGGGGAGTCCCTTATGTATATTTTATCACAATTAAAAAAGAAAAATGATTAAATGATAAATTTTATGTGTACTTTACCAAAATTAAGAAAAAGAATAAGGTAAATGTATACATACTGACAGAGATAACTAAGGTATACAGTTAAGCAGGAAAAGACAGTTAAAGAACTATACACATTGCACATACAAAGTTATTGTGAAAAACCATATGAAACAAACTGATATTGAAGCCCCTATGTGCATGTGCAAATGCATAGCCATTCTGAAAGAAGACCGAAACAAAGAAGTGAGAAGTGGTGAGAGCAGCATGGGGAATGGCTTTTGCTTTTTCCGTTAATGCTGCAGTTAAGGTTTTGGGTTTGTTTTTTTTTTAACAATAAGAACATATTTGGATATTATTTGTGGATTTTAAAAATGAAGTCAAGCATGTTAAGGGTCGTTTGTGGTACCTGGCACACAGTAGGTGCACAAGGAACACTGGTTCACTTCCCCCTGGAAGGCAGCATCGGTGAGGCTGGTCTCGATCTCCTTGACATGCCCTTGGTGTCTCAGGAACTGGGCAAGGAGACGTGGCCCTGTGTTTATTTGCTGATCCTCCTCTCCTCCTTTTCTCCCCCCTTCTCCTTCCTGACATGGTTTCTATGGAGACCAGGGTCCCTTAGCAATTCTTCTGCCAGCACTGCTCCAGTCCCATCATCCAGATCTGCTTTGCCATCCTGACAGGTTGCTGTGGCGATACTGTCACCCGACTGGGAACAGGAGCCCCTGGACTGAGCTGATGTGGTTGCTATGGCGATAGCTCTTCACTAGAGAGAAGGGAGGGTGCAAGCCCAGCCGAGCTCTGCGGTCCCACTGTTGCCCAGCTGGAGCTCAAGAATCCTAACACCAGCCTCCCCTTCGTCCAGTACCTCCCTTCTTGTATTAGGCAGAAAGCCAATATTGGGGTTGACATGATTTATTCAAGCATAACGGCTGTGTCTGGGTGCTTGCTCTGTACCAGGCACCGCACCACACATTTTCCATGTGTCCTTGTGAGTTGTGTGACCCTCCCCACACCTCCCAGCATACACAGTGTCCCCATTTTATAGGTGGTATTCTTTTCTTGGCCACTTTTAAATTGTGATATAATCCATCATGTTTAACTGGACAATTCAGTGTTTTTAGTACAATGGTATTGCTGTGCAACCATCACCATTATCTAATTCTAGAGTATTTTCATTATCCCCAGAAGAAACCTGTTAGCAATCCCTTCCCATTCCCTGTTCCCTCCAACCCTTGACAACCACTGTTCTGCTTTCTGTCTCCATGGAGCCTACTCTTGTGGACATTTTGTACAAATGGAATTGTGCACTATGTGGTCTCTGATGATTCCACTTAGCATCACGTTTTCAAGGTTTTCAAGGTTTATCCATGTTGAAGCCTGTGTTAGTACTTCCTTTCTTTTTATGGCCTAATAAAACCCTTTGTAAGGGTACACCACATTCTGTTCGCTCAGCACTTGATTGACATTTGGGTTGCTCCTACTTTTTGCTTCTTGTAAATAATGCTGCTATAAACATTCATGTATGAGTTTTGATTTTTATTTCTTTTTTTTTAAGATTTATTTATGCATACAAGAGCTGGGGTACAGGCCAGAGGTGCGGTGGGGTGAGAGGATCCACCAGAGACAGAGTAGAGAGCAGAACAGGCAAATTGACTGAAATATATACTACTGAGGGGAGCAGCGGGCAAGTCAGGAGAGGTCTGCTGCGCCATGTGGGGAGCTCCCTGGCCGGCCGGGGGATTGAACTCATGCTGCAGTGGCTGAGGATTGCTTCATAGGTTGTGTCTTAATCCCTTGCGCCACCAGGGAGGCCCCGAGACATCATCTTCTTGAGCCAGTCTCCTGCTCCTGTCGGTGGGCACATAGCTTGTTCCCATACCCTAGCTATTGTCTTGTAGAGTGTGCTTTAAGTGAGTATGTGTTTTCATTTTTTCTTGGGTCTATACTTAGAGGAGTGGAATTGCTATGTATAGATGGTGCTGGGAAAAACAAAAATGGGATTTTAATCCAGGACTCTATCTCTTGAAGCCACACTGACTCTTAGCCTTTCTTGCCCACCTTGCCCCATCCAGGGGTCTTCCTGGGACCTGGTATGCTTTCAGAACTTCCAAAGAGGCTGCTCATTTCAATGAATACCTCCTTCTCTGTCACAGGCTCCTCATCCTGATTCCCACTATGGTGGGAAAAGAAAGGCATTGACCACAGTGTCAGACCCCCTAGGTTCAAATCCTGCTTCTACCATTGTGGTTGTCTGACAAATTCTAGCTGTGGTCTGTCTGGATCAGGAACTCAAACTTGGAGTCACATGGACCTCAGTTTGAATTCTGGCTTTGCCATTTTTTTGGCAAACTGTGTAGCTGCTCCAATGCTCAGTTTATAAAATGGGAAGATTAAGTCATATTTCTCAGAGGTGTTTGTGAGAATTAATTGAGACAAGCAGCTGAAGTGCTTGGCATGGAATCAAGGGTTGGTAAATACTGATTCTCATGGTCTTAACCACTGCTATGGCTGTGGGTCTGGAGAAACATTTACTGGAGCCTAATAAATGCCCTTTTGCATAGGAGAGCTGCCGGTTGTCCATGGAAGGAGCAAATTGGCATCTGTAGCAGGCAGCATCTGTTCCAGTAACTTGATTTGAGGTGCATGTTTAAACCACCCTTTGTCGTCCCCCCACCATGGCCTTTCTGGCTGTTTCAGCTGCTCCAGAGGAAGAAAGTCTCAGTCTCTAAATGCACCTCCAGCCCAGATTCCCTCTAGGCTACATTTTG